CTAAAAATCCCAAATACCAGTACAATTCAAAAAAAAAAAGACAACTTACAACAATGATGCAGCAAAATATATCTGTAAGAAAACCTTTAAACTGTGTACTATACATATAAGTCTTATTTTCTAGTCTCTCCTTTTGTCTATACAGATTACTTATGTAAATATTATACATAGGTACATTTTATATACCTATTTTAGAATATTTTCTGTATTTTAGAAAATAAAATATGTAGTATTTATATTAAATATCCCTAAAAAATCACCTTTTGAAATGGAAAATTCCTCAGTTTTTTAAAAACAAATTAACTGCATACCAGCCAGACTTTTTGCATAGAATACATAATATTTGATACAGTATTTTTGACTGAAAATGTCTGAGGTGTCTCACATAAAATAAGAAGCACTTCCTGGAATATTTATCACTCAAATTAAACTATACGATAACAAAGTAATACGCGGAACATATTTTCCACTTCCTCCCCATTTCCATTACAACTTTTTCTTTCTACAAGTAATTGTTTTTATAGAGGTTACTTGAAAACGAAAGAATAAAGAAAAAGGTCATAACGCAAAATATGCAAATTTGGAGTTCTACCACTTATCCTACAACTGCATATATCTAAATTGAAGTACAATGATACAACTACTTCATTCTATCTGGGAGGTTAAAACAGATAATTAAAGAGATGACAAATGCTGAGGCTTAGACTGCAGTAAAGGAGGCTGAATTGTTATTTTACTTTTAGGGTAGTTTTTTGCAGCACTGCCAGAAGCTGCTTTTTTTTTATTAGCAGCAAGAACAATTGTGCATCTGCAGGGAAAGTGGATGGGAGATGGATATGGGAGAGCATTTGCATCTATGGAAAACCAATGTAACCACAAAAATCAGAATTATATTAAAGGACAAATGCTTATCTCTTGATTTGTAAACATCCTACTACAAAAAGAAATTACTTCCTCTGGCAATAAACTTACCCAGCTGTGTGATGTACCCACCAGAGACTGCACTAAACAGCATCTTGCCACTTTTAAGTGATACACCCCTTGTTGCAAAGATTACTCTAAAGTTGCTTTATGTTTACTCTATTGCCACAAATCTCTGCCACTGAAGACAAAACATGTATGCTTTATTCCAGTATAAGCTAACTTCAAAGTATCATTTTGTGGGTCATCCCTCTAGGTGAAAAAATTTGAGCTAACGTATTATTCAAACTGGAAAATAAGATTTTATCTATCCAGTTATGACAAAATTTCAGTCATAGAGCATTTCAAATTAATATCGCATTAAAACACTTTGATATGAACCTAAGAACATCATCACATAATTAGTGCATCACACATCTAGAGACCAATTAAGAAACATATATAATTCATATGCTTACTACAGCACCCAAGACATTGCATACTGTGAAATGTAAACTCAAACACAACAGCAATGAATTAGCCTGAAACATTTAACATACTATCTATCATGTATCTTAAGATTTTCTTCTGCCTCAACATTCATAAAAGCATTCTGAATTGAATTAGTCAGGCCCCTGGGCAAACCACTGAAAGACTTCAATATTTTATTGAGTTTGTGCAAGAGGACCTTTAAGTAAACGAGAAAAAAAAAGGGGAGAAAAAAACAACCAAACAAAAAGTGACCTTTTCCCTTTCTTGCTATCTTTCTGAAACCTCAGTTTTGTAGCTAAGACATTTGTTTCACTTATCACACAATCCAGAAACCACTTGAGGGCCAGCTGAGCTGTCCGTTTTAGCGGAACCTCCAGTTGTTTATAGCTGACTTTAATCAAGTGAGATAGTAAAGAAAACGAGATTCAACAGTGTTGAAATGCTGAACATAGAACATTTTGTTCAATGCTAAAATGTGACCTCTACACATGGTGTAGAAAGGAACAATTATTTTTTGATAATGGTTTAAAAGGGACACAGAAGAGATCTTCAATTTGGCTACAGGCAAGTTTTGTGGGGGGTTTTTTTAGATTTTTTTTTCTAATCAGGGATGTCTCTGAAGGGCTTTTGAAAGAAGAGTCAGATATTAGTAGAACAGTAAAAAAAAAATAATTACAAATGCTACCTCAAGAAAAAAACACTTCATTGTTTCACCAGTAATCACAGGTTTTAAAGCTCTAGTAGTTGCAAATCAGATAGCACATTTAAAAATGGCAATTCTGTCCTTTTTACATAATGCATAGATTAAATGCACTAATCCCAGTGGATTTATGTCTGGTCAAAAATAAAATATTTCTTTCACATAGAAAGATCCTTCCTTACCTTATTCCCTTTTCTCTGAGCCTCCCACACTTAGGCTGAATGTCATGCTACCAGATATCATGTGTATAACTGATGACATTGCTTCTATATCTAAAACGGTTTGTCAACACAGCTGTTCTATAGCCTCCGTATATTTTCCAATAACCTTAAAAAACACCACGAAATTTTCATAGATATATGGCTAGTCTACTTTACTTAGGTCTGAAACCAGTATCAAAAAATCAAACATTACCATTGTTTAGTCTGAATACTTGAATAGTTTAAGTACATTATCAGTTGAAAGGGAAAGCAGGCAGTCTACTGTAACTACATCTCCAAATCTTGAACAAACACCTAGTTCGTTACTAATAAAGAAACAAAATGTTATACATTAATAATTTAAGAGAAAAAAAGCTGTCAGACCATACACATTTTTCTAACAGCAGGCCATAAGGTTGGCAAAGCTTTCTAAACAGGTAAAACAGTTAAAGTATTGTGATGGCTAATGGAAATACTAAACTGCTGAGGATGGGAGCAGCAATACAGTTTCAGTTCTAGGTAAACTACTTGAAACTCATCAAGAAACCTAAATACTGGGACACAGAACAAGTTGCTGTCTCAACATCTCAGGTATAAAGCGATTCACGTTTTTAGAGACAGATTCTAATAGATGGAAGCTACCACCACACTTACCGTTCTCTGTCTTGTTCAAGGGCTTTCTGCTCAGCCTCCAGACTAGCCTGCAGACCTGCCTGTTCATCACAGCTGTTGTTCAAGGTGGCAAGCTTCTGTTTCTGCTCTTCAATTTCTAAGTCTATTGTTGAACGACGTTGCAAAGCAGAGTGCCTCCTTTCTAACTTAGCAACAGCTTGCTCCAGTGCCTCCCTCTGCTGTTTTTCCCTTGATTCAAGGATTTCTTTTTCCTTTTTCCGAACCTTTTCTTCCTGACGAGCTACATTGGCTGTGAATTCAAAGGTTTCTTGTAGCTGCTGCAGCTGATTTGTGCTAGCTCTATACTGGGCAAGCTGCTCTTCTTTTTCTTCTATTTCTTTCTCTATTTGATAGAGAGTATTATCCAAACCCAACAAGCCCCTATCGAGGACTTCAGAAGCCCTTTGTTTTTCTTCCAGCAGAGCTGGCAAATTATTACTCTTCAGGTACTCAAGTTGGCGTACTTTAGATTGGAGACTGTACTCTGCTGACTTTATCTCATCAACTTCTTCAACCTTGAGTACAGCATCCATAAAGTTTTCATCATCTTTCTTGACTTTTAAATGTTCTTCATGTGCAAATTTTAACTGTTCCAGAGCTATTTCTTCATCAGCTATTTCCTTTTCTAGGTGATCCATTTGTTGAACTACATCTTTTTCCAAAATAGTCAACTGTTCCAGCTGTTTCTTTTTAAACTCTACAAAATCAAGCTGAGCTTTTTCTAACTCTTCACTGTTTTCATCACCTTCAGATCGGGCTTCCTTGACTTTCAAAAAAGATTCCCGAATATCTTCAAGATCTCTTTTCTCTTCTTCAACTCTTTGTACGTCCCCTCTCTTCAGGAGCTCTATCATGACCTGTTTCTCTCGAAGCTGTTCTTCCAAATGACCCACCAGCATCACCTGCTCCCTTTCTTGTTCTTCAAGTCTCTTTTTTTCCAATTCCAGCTTAACATACTGTTCATCTTTTTCCTTTTTAAGTTTTTCTAGCTCACGGAAAATCTGCATTTTCTCTGCTTTTTCGTTATGATTAAGTTCTTGTAGTCGCTGCAACTCCTCTTTGACTCGGGCAAAAATTTCTTCCTGCTGTTTCTTTTTTTGAAGCTCTATCTCCTGTTGTTCCCGTAATCTCTCTTCTTCAAATTTTTCTTTCTCAGCCAGCAAATCCTTTAACCTGCTCTCAATGTGAACACTTTTCCGTTTCAGGCTCTCTTCTTGTTTTCGAATTTGCAGCTGTACTATTTCTGTTTCTTTGCGCTGTGACTCTACTTCTTGCTGCATTCTTACAAGTTCTGCTTTGTCAGATCTTTGTTTTTCTTCCATCTCTTCTATTTGTTTCCTACAGTAAAAAATGTACATGCAATATTTCAAACATTTTTGGTGGGTTTTTTTGGTTTGGTTTTTTTTTGTTTGTTTATTTGTTTTTCAAAAGACACCATATCCCTGAGAATTTTAAAAGGTCTGGACAAGAATTTTAAAAGGTCTGGACAAGAATTTTAAAAGGTCTGGACAAGAATTTTAAAAGGTCTGGACAAGAATTTTAAAAGGTCTGGACAAGAATTTTAAAAGGTCTGGACAAGAATTCTAAAAGGTCTGGACAAGAATTTTAAAAGGTCTGGACAAGAATTTTAAAAGGTCTGGACAAGAATTTTAAAAGGTCTGGACAAGAATTTTAAAAGGTCTGGACAAGAATTCTGTAGCATGTGTAATGGTTTCTCTTTTAAATTTTTAATTTTTTTTTAATTTTTTTTCCACAATATTAAGACCTTACATTGCCTGGAAGTCACTCAATGCATAAGTCAAATGGTAAAGAGACGAATATAGTTTATTTCAACATAAAATACTGTTGATATATTCAAATATAGGAAGGCGTGTTATTTATAATTTATTTTAGTAGAAAATTAGGCTGTATTGGTTCTGTGAAATCAAATAAAAATATTTATAGAACACATCAGTGCACACAGTGAAGAGTAAATAATATATAGATATTCTTCTGTATACATACATTCATATATAAACAAAATTGTATAAAAGGACCTGATTAGATATTTGCCTCACCAAAGTGAAGTTAATAGATGAATTACAACTATGTCTCCTCTTTAGGTGAACCCAACTGAATTATTGACAAACAGGATTACAAGCTTAGGAACAAATGTATTTGAGAGACAAATTACTTTAAGACAAATTATTACTTCCTGGGCAATGTCTCTTTTGGAGGTTCTAGGGGATTCCAAATGAAGACAGACTGAGACTTGAAGATCAGCACTATCCCCATAATACAATTGCTTGAACACACATAGAAACAACCTGCAAGGCAGTTGGTACTATGCAGGAAGTTGAAGTCAGATCCATTAAAGCACAAGCAAAGCAAATTCAGCACAATCTGAATTCAAATCCTATCAATTAGCCTAACAAAGAGGATAAGTATCAAGGGTCCTGTTGCATCACTTTCTGAATAGCATCTATCTTTTAATGCTTCAGAGTTTCAGGGTTTTTCTGCATTTACTTAGCTTAGTCTACCTATATAAACAGCTCTTTCAAAATGGAGCAAGCAGTCTAAAGCTGAGAAGGCAGAAGGTGTGTCTCAGCTTATGAATCAAATCAATGTGGTGATCTACAACAACATGAGAGAGATTACTTCTAAAATCTTAGCAGGTATGATGAGCTAGAACAGTCAGCTCAGTTTGTCAGCTGGCAACAATACGTTCTTCTGTATCTCTAACTGATTTCAAAATAATGCTGAGTATGACTGGTAGACCCAGACCAGCACCACATGTTAACAAGCAGAGTTTACAATGTGAGTTTTTCAAATCAAGACTCAGCCCAAAGGCAACTAAACCATAGAAAAGAACAAAGAATATATTTTGCCATCTTTTAAAATAACACCATGAAAATTAAAAGTGGGAGTTATATATTACATTTGTATAATCTATACTCCTCATAAGTTTGTGTTTGGAATTTTCCTTGCTAAATATCAGTTAGCTACAATTCAGGTTGTCTATCTGTTCTCAATCAAGAAAATAACCAAAATATTAATAAAAGACAAGACAAAATAAAACCATTTATATCAGGATCCTCTGCTTGCTGAGTAACACTGTGCTTCCAAATTAATGATTTAAGTCTACAACATGTATCTATATACACACATGTAAAGACCACAGAAAATAATGTTACCTTTTACTTTCTAATTTTTCAAGCTCCTCTCGTTGCTGCCTCTCAAACTCTAGCCTGATTTAAAAAAAGGAAAACAGTAAAAAATGTTATTTCCCAGTATCACAAAAGAACAGGAAGATGCAATGCAATTCAGTGTCTGTTTAGAAGACTGTAACAATGGCACAAATAAAAAAAGTTTTATAAAACTATTTGCTACAATAACAGAAAAAATTTCCTTCATTAGAGTGACAAATTAGACATCATGCTGTCTGACGCAAGCACAAACAGAAAAGTAAATTAATTTCTGGGGAAAAAAACAGCTATTTAAAAAGAAAAGTTAAACAAGACAGATAAATTATTAGCATAGCCTCTGCAAGTTAACTACATGTGAACGTGGCAATCAATACATAGAAATTGAATTTCTCTACCTTAGACAGATCGGTCCTTTTACAGGGAAAAGACTGCCATGGGAGGCAGGGGAAACAGAGCGATCAAATGAGAAAGGAATTGATAGAAAACACATATTAGCGGTTCAGAATATTTTAATGTCAACAACAGTTTGTTTTATTAGAGGTTAGATTCATAGAACATTCATCACATTACTATTCAGAAAAAATTAAATAACTGTTCTTTCTAAATATGATTTTCAACTGCCAACGATAGTTAATCAATGCTCATTATCCTATGGTTTATTAACTTGGCCGCTTCCGAGAAAGGAAAGATGTAAGAGTATGCTTTGGCATGACTGTAGTTCTTCCTTTTCCTCCCAAAAAGAAAACCCAACCACATTGCCATGATGTAAGCAGTGGGGTTAAAAAACCCTCAAATTCCTGGAAACATTCAAGTACAAACTCATTTATCCAAACTATTTTGAGAATGTGTTTAATTTGCTACAGTTCTGAATAATTACAGGAGAGTATTTAATGCTGTTTTAAACAACAGCTCTTATTACAGTTGTACCTAATTTATTTTAATTGCCTTTTAAAGACTTGTGTTTTTTAAGACAATTCTTGTAAATAAATTTTTCTATGCATTTTAAAGTGTAGAGAAACTATATGTGAACTGAAATATTCAACCAAATACACAAATATGCAGTTATTTCAGGCCTGTTACTGCTTAATAGGGTTGCAGGTTAGTGAGGTAGTTCATAAGCAGTGAAGAAAATCCAAGACTGCACCACAAATTACCTTCAAGTATGAGGAACTCCAGTTTATGACCACAATTACACAGACAAGGTTTTTTAAAAATAAGATACATTTAATATTTCTTTCTAAATTAATACAAATGCCTGTGACAAAAAGGAATTGCCCTTGGATATGTGCAAAAAATACACCAATAATCTAATGTTTATGAAGTAGTTTGAATGAAGTTTGATTCCTACAGGCTCAAGAAGTATTTTTTAAACTACTGAAATACTGGAGAAAGACTAGTTTAACATATTGCATTTTTCCTTATTTCTCACAAATTAATTTAAAAAAAAATAACTCTACAACACCTAAGAGATCAGCAAACAGATGTATTTTTTTTTTTAACACAACTCCAGACATCCAGAGCCTTCATGTAAATGTTCCACCAAAAGTCCCTTTACATTTTCATTAAGACTATGTCTAGGATGGGCACTATCTCATTACTTCAGTCCAAAGTAATACAGATCCCAGGGGATATAGCTGTGGTTTATGGAAACGCAAGACACCCGTTGGGTGCTGTCAGATGCAGACCATCTTTGCTCAGACAGCTGGCAAAGATGATTTACAAGTATTCCCGTGCCTGGTTAAGCCATAATGAAGCAGAATGTTTCAGATAAGTTAACATAATGTGCAAAACCCAGAGCAAAAACCTTTTGATATTTTGACTGTCCTATAAAACACATAATTTGGCAAACATTTTTATATATGCATTAAAATCTTAACTAGCTTTTGACTGAGATCTGACACATGGAAAATGAGCCAACATAGCAACTAGTCTGATATAAAAGAAGGTCAGTAGAGAAAACTCTGTTTTTCTCTTTGATGAAGTATCTCTAATGCCTTCAACAGTGGTGTCACAACAATCAGCTTTGCTTTACACTGAAATGAAGCTGGTAGTGCTCAAAAGGTTGTTCAGGAAGGAGGAATGAACTATGCAGAAGTGGTTCTTCTGCAGTGAAAATGGCTGTTTCCCAAAGCCACATATGGATCACCATCAACACCCCAATCAACAGCTTCCATATGTTACTCTGAGCTCTTTTTAAAAAATGCAGGTTTAATGCATTATAAATAAGGAAATGCCCCTATGAAGTGGAGGGTAATGCTGTCTGGTGTTTTGCTGCTACTTAGCTTCAGTGGTGCCTAAGTAGGTGCAAGCTCTACTGAAGGCTCTCCTATGATGCGGTTACTCACAATGCCTCTGTTCTTTATCAAAGGTGCTCATGTTGCAGCCCTTATTTCTGCAGGAGTAATAATGATGCCTGTCTGTCTTAGCTGGCTGCTTATTTTCTCTATACATTTAGAAATTCAGCACTTTTGAAACCATTACCTGAGCAGCATTTGCTTAAAACAGGTTATGAACTTAGGACAGGAGAGAATCTGGGGAGGGAGATCTGCTGTCAATGACTGCAGAAACTTGTTTCTTTAACTAGCAAAAAAAAACCCTGAGGAAAAAAAATAAAAATAAAAATTAAAAATTAAAAATCACTGGCTCTAACAAATCTCTGCCAGCTTTACAAAGCACAAATACAAACGTGATGTTTTCCGGTTTAGTGTATCTGTAATAAAAAAAAAATCTTTTTCACATAACCTCTACTCCCTGTATTAATGTGAGCACTTCAGTGAAAAGGGGAAAATATTAGTTTGAAATTAAAAAAGAAACACACAGATATTAAAGACTAGAATCTACTCTTTCTTCTTTTGTAGATCTACCACAAAGGAACCTAATCTGATCAGTGCCATATTAAATAGACACCATTTTCCTGGAAAACGTGGCATATCTGCTGATAAGAACAATGTAGATAAGCTGCTGAGAAAGGAAGTCAGTTCTACTAGCACAGTACTACAATAGCTTAATTTACACAGCACAAAAGTGAGATCTGGTATTACATCTATTAGGAAAGACTGAGTACTGGCAGAACTACAAAGATGTTACAATGCTGCTCAGCAGCCCAATTTACGAGATTAATTTGAAAAACACAAAACAAAAAACCCAAGCTAAATCCATGACGAGATCAAGGTTTCTCATGAGTGGGTTTAGAGTTACAGTATAATGTAGTTTACAAAAGGTCTACAAATGAAATCTTCAGCATAAATCTATGTGCAAAATTCTATTTTATCCAAAGCTTATTATCTGAAGCAGTGTTGCATGACACCAGATTAAAAACAAAGACTGGGAACAAGTAGAACAAAGAATTTTATATGTTAAGCCAAAATTTTATGCAACTATCTCCACATATGGGAAACCAACAGCCAAAGAAAAAGCCCACACACAACAAAAATCCCTCACGAAGGCCACCCATCTGAAAACACAATTAAAGATAACACTGATTTTCACATGGGAAAGATACAGATACAGTACACAAGACACATCATTTATCTGCTTTCATAACCACTGAACATAAATATCCCCCAGGCACTTCTGCCATTGATTGCTAAACATACTAGATCTTACCAGTTGTTTATTACAACCTACAAATTGGAAATTTAGCTGCCAGCCTTTATATTACCAATACTGAAAACTGGAAGAAAAAGTGGTGTTGAAAACACTACTTTAACAACAAACAGAATGCTAGTCGGCTACAAAAGTCACACACAAAACCCCCAGATGGTCAGCTACTGAATCAACATCTACACTGCTCATGGGCAGTGTATCATTATGGTATGAGAAACTTGTATAAAGAGTCATACCAAAGGACCACGTTCTACATTGCTCCCAACTTAAATAAATGAATAAATACATTACATGCCTGATTTAATGTAGGACATTTTTTCCATCTGCACTTTTCCAGGAAGCAAGATTCTCACCCCTACCTAATGCTTTGGGTGCCTTTGATACCCAGAGATGAGATTTATTGAATGTTTTACCCAGGCTGAAAAGACAGTCACCACTGAGAAGAATAACCACTGCAGCACTGCACCTGCTAAGCAGCATTCCTAGCTGGAAGTACAGAGCTCAAGCATTCTAAAAGCCATTTATCATTTACAAATACAATGCCACTGGCTTTTCTTATTACTGAAGCTTAAATGCTTGGGGCCTGCTTTATTCAGAACACATCCTTTTCTTCAACCGTGCCTTCACCCCAGACACCTGTTCCCCTTAAAGTAACGCTTCCTGCAGGATTAACTCTTAGGGACAAGCTCACAACATGATCAGAAAAACCCCAGTGCTGCCACAAAGGAGGAAATAGAGAGAAAATGGAGTTAGCATCAACAAATTTTAAATTGTCATGCAACCATAGCCTAAGCTGAAAAGCTGCCCTTGTCAAATTGCTGTCCATAAAGATGCATCAATTATGGACAAGGCTTTCCTTTACTGATTTATAAGACCAAGGCTCAGTCAAACTGCAGTGCAAACTTCAGAGCCTACCTTCTCTTTGCAGCATTCATAAAAGCAGTAAAAACTAATATTTCAGGGATTTTTTGTCCTGGGTTTTGTTTTTGATTTTGATTTTTTTATTATTATTTTTTTGAAAAATCATTGCTCTAGGACAACATCCACCTCTGCACTTCATGGGTAATGTGTATTACTAGATATGGCATTTATTGTTTTAAACATAGTTAAAGCATCTACAGATAGGGGTATGAGTTTTAACTACAAATATGCAACCATGAGCTTCCTTGCTTAGAAAAAAGAAAGTGTATGTAATGGTGACTATGGAACAACCTCAGCCAGGTTTTATCACTCACAAACAAGTGACAGTCATGCAGACCTGCATTTCTGCTGTACTGTAAACGCTAAGCATAATCCTTTCTTGAGTTTACAAATTAAGCAGGACAAAATATCTATTCCAGCAAGCCAGTTCACAAAGATTAATTGAATGCAGACTAGCAGGAGAATATCAATAATTAACCCTCTGCTCATAGTTTATAGTCTAATAAAATGCAGGCATGAAAGCATTCAGGAATATGAAGAGTATTTCACCTAGTCTTATCCTCAATTTCAACAGCATTGGTGCTCTCGCAGCCACACCCAAGAAAGGAAAATAGAAGTTACAAGAAATGTTAGATGGGGAAAAGTGGTAGTGTTTCTATAAATTGCTGCATACATTGATAATCTTGTTACTTATACTGTGACTTCCAGGAAAGCAAGGTAAGATGTTTGAAGAACCAACCAGGAAAAAAGAAGCTATATTCTACAAAACATATAGAAGAAAAATAAGAATTTGCTGTAATCTACTCCAGCATAGAGAATCAAGTAACCCTCCAGACTTTTATTTTTCTTTTCTTTTCTTTTTTTTTTTGCTGCATACATTGATAATCTTGTTACTTATACTGTGACTTCCAGGAAAGCAAGGTAAGATGTTTGAAGAACCAACCAGGAAAAAAGAAGCTATATTCTACAAAACATATAGAAGAAAAATAAGAATTTGCTGTAATCTACTCCAGCATAGAGAATCAAGTAACCCTCCAGACTTTTATTTTTCTTTTCTTTTCTTTTTTTTTTTCTTCTATAAGACACAATCTGCCATTATCTGAAGACAGTATGAACACCTTGGGCAGGCAATCATTCTTCAGCCTACCTTCAACTGGGCCTTGCTCATGCCGTTATATTTTACGACAAACCTGAAAGACTAGAAGTGAGGCAATGCTGAAACAATCTGTCCTACTCCATGCTGACTGCAAAGTCAAGGTCAGCATTGTGCAGTATAATGCAATAATTCATAACACTATGGGAACAGAGTAACATTATTAGTTGGGGGTGGGAGGGGAAGCCCATGGTAGCTAATCAATAACCAGAGGTAACAAAGAATAGCTGGGAACTTTCCCCAGCCTACAAAAAATACAATACTACCAACTGCCACCAGAAGTTTTTAGGTCAAACTATCTGAGAAGCTAAAGAAAATTTTAAAAATACATATATTTTTTTGACTTTTTTTTCATCTCTGAAAAAAGACAAATTTATGAACAACTACCTCACTATCTTGAGATTTCTGTAGGTAGTTCAGTAGCAAGAGAGTATCAATCACATTTGAAGCAGTGTTATTACATATATTCACTGTATTTAAGACATTGTTTAACTTAAAGTTATTACTTGGCCAATCTTCCCAAGTTCTAATGGATAAAGAGCAATCCCACAGTAAAACTCGGGAATAGAGCTGCACTATCCAAGCCTGAAATTCAATTTAGAGCCTATTTTTCAAAACATAGATGGTTAAAGTGCCTCATCTCACACTCAATTCAAAACACAGGCACTAGCTATTTTAAAAAAAACAAAAAAAAAACAACAAAAAACCATCAATTTTCTGTAAGTCACTTCCAGAACACTGGTAAAAACATTAAAAACAGCTTCCCCACAATAGCAGCCTATATTATTGTAACTGTATAATAAAATGGTTCTCCACATTCTAACTTGGCTACCTACTAAGAGCTCTATAGGTGAGAACATAAGACATTAATTTCCCAGCCTTTTTATGCTTCTATTGGTGTTATACGAAGTCAAGAAACCTTAATTTTCAGTTTACAATGCATTTTTCACAGGAAAAATAGTTAACTTGAAATTCTGAAAAAAGCATGAACATATAATATGCCATGTCATTATTGTGTTCAACTGCCTTGGTTATAATGCAAATGTTTCCCAGACTCCAGCTACTACAACTTTCTTTGTGCTTCTTTCAGTGTTGTTTGTCAGTGCAGTTACTTGTCTTGCATTGAAGTAGAGAAATCCCAGGAGAAGACAAGTTTTAAGCAGGATGGAAAGTTCCTCACTGTCCCATTTGCTGGCATGGACTAGTTCAAATAACCTTTCTGAAAAGCTATGGCTTCATTCAGAGGCCCGTCATTTAAAAAGCATATACTATTAACCTGAGAACAAAATATTTTCTATTAGTGCCATGTGGACCATTCAAACAACTAAAATAAAGAATGGCTGCAACTTTAATAACTGCATTTTAGAATATACTCACCCTGGATTATAAAGCATAACTGCTGACAGGTTCTCACAAGATTTTGAAAGATCTGTCATAGACAAGCTGAAGGAAGGCAGCAGTCCACTCTAACAACAGACCATAAAATAAATACATTAGGCAAATACTGATGTGCTTACAAACTCTTACTATATTTCATGAAATAAAACATTTAACTAACGTATGTGAAGCAAATTTTAAAAAGTATTCTACAACAATCAAGGTAGGACTATATTAACAAGAAAATTGTGAAAAGGTTTAAATTTTCCAAACACTTATTTAACCTCACCTTTCTTTTTTCCCTTAGCTTAGCAGCTTCTTTGGGGTGGTTAAAGCGAAACATATTGGTTCTTCCAAGTAATATAACAGCACCTGATGAGAAAAAAGCACACACCATTCACTGACAACATATCATACCTGAAAATGCCAACCAATATTTCAGGCAGACAATACGTAAGCAGAAACTTCCATTAAGCAAGAGCAAAATGAAAATGTATTTTGACAAGCCAAGTGTGTAACAATGCACACAGTTACACTAACTGATGTATATAGTTTATTCCTTACTCTTCTGAAATAAAAAAAAAACAACAACCACAAAATAAAGCTACCACATGTGTTTATACATACAGTCATGTTCATAAAGTTTAGCTAAAGAACAAACACAGGCAGAGGAAGCAGTTGCCCTAATTTGTTCAATGCACTTTTAAACAGTGAGACTGGAAGCCACCAGGAGGTACCAGATACATTGGGAACAACCATAAATGTGACTAAAAACAAACTTGTCCATCCACTACTGATTACAGTCAGGTTTTAATCCACCTACACTGAAAGCTCCAGATCTCCTTAAAATTTGTACTCTTCACTTATCCTTTTCCTGTCTGTGTTGAACAACACTGAAGTTTATCATCACTCAGAACAAGATTATTAGACTTGTCTACCCAATAGCTATTTTCTCTTCCATTGAATAATTCATATTGTTCAGTGCACATCCATTATTTGATTTAATCAGTTAAGGTGCAAGTCACAAATAATGAGATTCTGGGCAATTCTTACCATATTTTAAAGACAATGGCACCAAGATTAATACTTTCATAATAAGAGGGATATTGTTAGTGATGTCTCACTACTGTCATAACATGGAAGTCTTCCAAGTTAACCATTACAGAATCAAGCATTTACCTCTCAGTCTGTGTGAGGAATTTTTAAAAAAGGATTCCATTACATCCACAGTATGAAAAAAAATGCACTTAGACTGGTCACTACAAACAAATTTTTACCATCTGAGAATGAAATGCTGTCCTTAGTAAGGAATGCTCCTCTTAAAACTAGTTAAATTATGAGTATCAACCCAAGCAAGGTCATCTGGCCTTGGGAAATAAACATCAAAAGCATAATAGTCATGACATCGCTTCTTGCTGTCTTCACAATACTTCAATCTTGGACCATAAGAACAGCTTATCTCAGCCTAACCTTAAAAAGAATTACCTTTCAGATATCTGTATGTAGGTTTGTATTGCCAGGTCATTTTGACCTCTTCAAGAAGTGTGCTGGCTGTACTTTTTCTGTAAGCAGATTAAAGGGGATCCCTGACAGTCATGACTGCTGTAGTGAAAGGGCTAAAACTGTTTTTAGTCTACCACTGCTTCATATGCTCACAGTTGTCCCAAACATTTATCTGTTCCACTCTTGCTGACTGCCTGGAGGGGGATTTTGTGACAGTGGGGATTTCTACAAAATTCCTTCAGTTACTTTCAAATGAAGATAAAAATACTTAAGCTTTTTTTACTACTTTACTAGGTGGAAGAAACTTTAGTTAAAATTTCAGAATTAATACAGCTATAAATGTGCCCCTAACTTAATGAATTTAAAAGAAAACAGGAGAGGCTTAACAGCAAGTACATGACAGTCAGATGACAGATCATATGAACAACTCTTAGGTTTCTCTTTTAGTACTTCTATGAATCCTATGATAATTTCTGTATTATTCTGTTACTAGGGAAAAACTCTAGAAACTTAATTCCCATTTGGCAGAAACTTTGGTGAGCATCAACATCAAAGCCTCCTTAGGAAAAAAAGGTCTGGACAAAAGCATGTAGTCAAATATATCCTAAGCACCAAGCCTGTCTGTTGCTGTACAGAGCAGCTCTCATTCAGAAAGTGCAGTATAAATGTCATCTTGGAAACATAACTGGATTTGCTATGGGGTTTGATTTCCATTTATTTACTGTAGGCAACAATTCTCATTCTCATTGAATGTCAAATGGCAAAGAAAAAGGGTTTGTCAAATACATTGATAGTACTAAGAATAACAACAAAAACTAAACAAAAAAGGCTTTATCATTTGTGGAGCTCTGATCTCCCTACTTAACTGGTTGACTTCAACATATAAATGACCAGAGTGCATAGGAAAAAAAATACATACATATATAAAAGAATGCCTGCTGAATGTCATCAAGCATCTCTGACCTACACAGAGCAGTATTTTGGAACTATGCAAACAAAGGCATATATAATTAAGATCTTACCAACTTCTAAAAGTCATTTTCTAATTTTTAAATTATTTTTTATTTTAATCAGCAAACTATAAAAAAAACAGTGGGAGGTCAGGTTAAGTACAGAAGAGTTGGCAGTTTGGTCTAAGAAACTGAAAACTTGTTTTAAACTGAGGATAAATTTAAGGTAAAGGACAAACTCTTAACTGCGAATAGTAATTCAGTTACCTCTAGAAATCCTACCATATGTTCTTAAGAATAAAAAAATATTTTAGTAAGTTAAATGTACACAAAAAGGCCACATTAGCCAGAATTCACAAATGCTGGAAGTAATCTGGAGCAGGAAGTGGCAATTAATTACTATGCCTCTTTTAGGTTTTACTTAAACTCCATGACAGTCTAAAAACACATTTTCAAATGAACAGTTCTTAATGATGAACGGAAACATTTAAATATATCAACAGTTAATCAGTGTTACCTAAAGCAGATATTTAAGGAGGCTGGCACTTCATGCTGTGAAACTACATGCTAACACAGCTAGGGTAAATGGATGGTGCATAAGTCGTTAAACAGTTATTTCACCATTTTTGCCCACCTGATGTCATAGGTGCCACCTTTCAGACAAAGTCTGGTTAACATAGCCAGCTGTTACAGGTCAGCTTATGCAGCTGTTTTTCACAATTTAGTAACTCAAGCAATCTTTTCCCCTCCTTTTGAGTTACAAATTTATTTAGACAGAAATGTGGGTGAAAAAAAAGTCATGTTTCCTCTCTTCACAGTACAAAAATCAAGCTGGTACATATGCCTGGAAGAGGGAAACAGCATACAAACTCCTACTTTCTTTCAAGGTACATCAAACCTTTACTGCCTTTGAAATGCAGCAGGATCTGGAAGTGTTCAAGACCAAGCTGGGTGGGGCTTGGAGCAACCTGATCTAGTGGGAGGTGTCCCTGCTCAGGGCAGGTTGCCTGGAACTAGATGATCTTTAAGGTCCCTTCCAACCCAAACCATTCTGTGATTCTATAAGAGTCATTGCAAGTGCAATTCTTATTGTTTACGGTGTTACTTGCCATTATTGTCAATACTTCTATTACTAACAATTTATCAGTGGGATTTATCCAAAGACAAAGTGAGCTGGGCTTTATTTTATTTCCCCCAGTATCTGTAACAGAAGAAGCGCACACATCCGTCATTTTGCATTAGGAAACATCTTTTACAAAATCAACATCCCTCCTCTAGACCAGAAAGGTACAAACTTTCCATGTTCCAACACTACAGACCTCCCTTGTTAGAGCAAGCTCGCTCTGAAAGCTTCTTACCAACAACTGAGCTGTGTCACAGCCTCACTCCTCAACAGGTTTTCAGCCCATTGCTAAATGGGAAGATATTCTGCGTGCTCTTGGAAGACACAACATCCCAAGCTTCTGCACTCATGAGCTTACTTCTTATAGCAAGTACCTTCCAGGCCAAAACAATGCACCTTTGTTTTCAACTGTCCCAGCTGCTTTTTCATTTCAGATTTTAAAGCATTTATATAAAATTTATAATTCTCAACTTCCTCCATAAGTTTTAGCCTCCCCTGTTTTGTCATCTCCCTTCAGCTGCAGTAAACAGATACTCAGCTGAATCTCCTGCTCTGCAAGAGGATTTGGCAAAAGTGTTAAGTAGGACTGGCCCAAAGCTTGAGCAGCAGGAGGAGGTGTCTCTGACATTATTTCAGTCCTACAGAGGCCAGTATTCTTTTTCTTAATATCACAGCAACCTAAGCAATCTGGCATGGAGCTCATTTGATGTATAAACTTTGGATGAAATCAAATGCTAACTATCAATTCATACTGAAGAGTTTAAAGTGGATTAAATTACTAAGGAATTCTCTTTCTTTTCAGCACATGGCAAATTCTTTGACAGAACAAAACCTTCATGGCTCTCCTGATCATTCTCAGCTGCAGATGAGAAGAATGGAATTAAAACTAATTAAACAATAATCTCTTTATATGCACACAGATTTTTTTCAGGGCTGTTGCCAGAAAAAAAAGAAGATGCTGTATCCAAAATGATATTACACTGGGTAATACCTTGGTTTAGGTGTGTGGCCTCTGTAATCTGAATTCCATTCACAGAACACTGTGCTCCATTCAGTGGTATTAGATTCACAGTACCGTTGAGATTTTCAAAGATGCAATGCTCACTTTCCAAGTCAAGACCATGAAGAACTAAATACAAAGAAATAACATAATTAGTCTCTTAATAACTAGTAAGGCTAGCATGCTGGTATTAATTTATTTAGGACCCACTGTACCACAAATTTGACAGTATCTTTTCTCTTTATTCTGGACAAGGTTTTTTTCCTTCCTTCATCACATCCTACATGCCTTAAATGTTGATGTTATTGTTTTACTGTAGTGGGAAGAGGCCAAGGGCTCGGATGCTTGGGTCTTTTTTTGGTGTAATGATCTTTCCTTCTATGTTTTAGCACCAGATTAGTAAATTCTTCTTTCCTTCTGATACCAAACAGGAAAGTAGAATTTATGTATTCATAGAGACAAAGTTTTTTTGACCAGTTTCTGGGAAACAATGAAAAGTTTTTTTGACCTTAAAGCAACCATGCTCATATCTGAAAAGATAGGATCTAATCTGTGATTGTTGACTAACGAAGACAGCTGAAATAAGATTCTTATGTTCTATGATATTCAGTTCTTTTATCAATCATTTATGCTACTGTCAATTCTTCAACTAACGTATTATTACTTCTACTGTATCGTTTAATACCATAAAACCATGCAAGTTTGCTGGGTTTATGAAATTAGTATCAAAATTTTAAGCCAGGCATCTTTTGACCCACAAAAATATAAAAAACTAAGTTATTTGACTCTTGAGTCTCTCACCTGAGAATTAAAGGATGATATTTATTTAATGAAACTGTCTTCAAGCAACAGGACAATACAGGACTGGCAATTAGTTGCTTTGATAAGAAGTAAATAAGAAAATCAGTAGAAGCTGCCTACCTCCTTTTTACCAAATTCCAGAATATTCTTCAACTCAAATCTAAAGTCCAAAGACTGCTTTAGGTATAACAACACTGTCATTATGTAAAGGTTAAGAGAATTTGCAGTAACTGTGACAGGTGCTGTATTAAAAAGGATAGTATTTTTCAGCATATTATTTCAAGGGAAGCAAGAAATAAATTAGTAGCAACTGTATGAATAAATTTTAAGCCCACCAGCTATTCTTGAAGTCATGCTCTCCAAAGCAAATTCCACATAATACAGCTCTCAAATGTTTTAAAAATTAAAACATGCAAGAACATACAGACAACCAACTGAAAAAGGGGAAAAAAGTATGAAGATTTGTTCACATATTAGAATGGGAAAAACAGGAAGAACAGGAAAAACAACTGAAAAAAGAATATACATAAATGCCAGATTCCCTACCAATATCTTGTTCTGTCACAGCATCTTCTCTGCCAACATATGTTTGGCCCTCCTAATTAAGAGAGAAACATACATTATTTTCAGTTGCAATTGCCCTTCCTCCCTCACAAAGATATGTTACCTTTTCATTTTCTTAGAGTAATTTGAACAAAACATGTTTAAACATACATTGAAAAATAATCAGGTAGCATTTTTAGAACGCTTTCACAGTCATTATTATGCAACATTATTGGCAAATTCAGCTTTCAACTGCCCAGCATAGAACAATCTTTGTAGTTTTGAGACAATCTAGATTTAGATTTCAAGGCAAGCTTTACAATGAGATGAACAAAAAACCAATACACATTGGTAGGAATATTAAACACCTATATCTGGTTAACCAGTTAACCTTCAGGATAAACCTATAAAGTAAAGTAACAGATATTTTAACTGAATCAGTTGCAACCTCATAAGAGCTTTTCCTACTACAGCAGAGAAATGTAATGAGTACTATATTTAGATAGCAAATTAATACTTCCATTTGTCTACTGAAAAAATCACAAGGCATATAAAAAGGCTATGGAAACACAGATATGTATTTACCTTCAAGTGGTACAAGATGATACCAGTACTCAGAAGATCATCATCAATGCCAATGAGATGAGGCAGCTCAGAATCTAACACAACACCTATCCCTTCTTTCCTCAGAGCCAAGGTTTGCTCCTGTAAAGGACAAAAGTCTGTTAGCATACACAAGAAATACCACTCTCTCTTCTCCTTTCAAAACCACATTTAATGTAACTTCTTCTCTGTAAAATCAACCCCAAAAAAGCATTTTTAAATTATTTTTTTTTACACTTTCAGTGTCACTGTTCTATTTCCATTGTGCGTTCCAAGCTTACTGTTCAGGCAATCTGTGAAGGTGTTACTTGAAAGAAACCCAACAAACAGCTGAATTATACCTGATAAGGAAGATCAATCAAGAGCATAACAAAGCAGCGTTGTCTAAAAGCAAACTACATACCACCTTGTATAATGGTAAAGAGAATTTAAAATTCCTCAGAATTCAGTACCACTGAAGAATAGAAAACTGGAAACTCTTTGGCAATCAATTAAATAAATCAAACCTTGTACAACAAAATTCCAGACATCTGAGAACTCAGTAAGCCTAAGCAGTTAAAACATCATCCAGTGTAAGCTAAGCTTAGTACAACAACTACTAAGCCTAGAAAATAGTCACAGCATATAATTGCAGTTCTTCAAAATTCCTTTGGGCAACATTGTACAGCCACCTGTAGGATGAAGCATCATTCAGCA